GCTCAGCATCAGTTCATGTAAGTCTTGCCAGGCTTTTCTGAAATCTACCTGCTCATCATTTCTTTTAGCATAATAGTGTTCCATTACATTCATATACCACAACTTGTTCAGCTATTCCCCAATTGATGGGCATCTCCTCAATTTCCAATTCTTTGCCACCACAAAAAGAGCTGCTATAAATATTTTTGTACATGTGGATCCCTCTCCTCTTTTTATTATCTCTTTGGAATATAGATCTAGGAGTGGTATTGCTGGATCAAAGGGTATGCATGGGGTTTGGTTGCCCTTTGGACATAGTTCCAAATTGCTCTCCAGGATGGTTGGATCATTTCACAACTTCACCAACAATGCACTAGTGTTCCAATTTTCCCACAAATTCAACAGTTATCATTTTCCTGTTTTGTCATGTCAGCCAATCTGATAAGTGTGATGTGATATCACAGAGTTGTTTTAATTTGCATTTCTCTAATCAATAGTGATTTAGAGCATTTTTATATGACTATAGATAGTTCTAATTTCTTCATCTGAAAATTGCCTATTCGTATCTTTCTACCATTTTTCAGTTGGGGAATCGTGGAGGACTTTAATGGAAGACTAAGGATTTCTTGTTTGATCCTAGAGGAAATAGTGAGCCATTGAAACCCAAGACCACTGTAGTCAGTTGATTCTGGGTCTTGCTTATCTATCCACTGATGTACTTAAAAATTTTCTAACTAATACCAAATAGTTTTGATGACTATTTATGATATACTTTGAGATCCTTCTTTCATTCCCTTGGTTTTAATATTTCCCTTGAGATTCTAGGTCTTTTGTTTCTCAAAATGAGTCCTGTTATTATTTTGTCTTGCTCTATAAAGTAAATCCTTAGAGGCTGGCTGGCATAACATTAAATCCATAATTTTTTTTATCATATTGACATGATCAACTGCATTAGCTACTTGTGAGGAAGCTATGCTAAGTCTTATGATAATTGCTTCCCTTTCTAGATGTCCACAAACATTCTTTTAATAGCAATAGTTCTAGAATTTCATTATAATTAGAAGTCATCTGATCTACATACAGTTTCAGATACTAATCCCTTCCCTGTTTTGAAAACTAGAACATTTGACCTTCTCCAGTTTTCCAGCACCTCTTCTCTTTGCTCTGATCCTTTAAAAGGTCATTGAAAGTGATTCTACAATCACATCTACTCATTTTTTTCTTTTCTGGACAGCAGTTTATCTGGGACTCATGATGTGAACTCACCAAACTGTGTGCTGTCTTACTTCACTGCCCTGAGTTTCTACTTCCTATTAACCATTTTTGTTCTTCCCTTTTCAATCCAAAGATCATTGTCCTTGACAGAGAAAATAGAAATAAAAGGAGAGGTGAACATTTCTGCTCTCTCACAATAATCTATTATCATTGTCCCATCCACTTTAAATAGCAACTTATTTCTTTAACCCTCCTCTTTCTCCCAACTTATCTTTTTTTAAAAGTCTTTTTTTGTTGCTTTTCCTTAGCATTCATTGCCAGTCTCAATGCAACTCATTATCAGTCTTAGTGCTCCTGATACAAGACCATGCCAAACTTTTGTTTTCATCCTCTCTTACCTGATTTT